CGTTTGAACGAATCGGTTGAATAAATGATTCAGTGATTCACTCCTTAACACAGTCAAATGCTTTGTTTCTGAATGAATCGGTCGTTTGAACGAATCGGTTGAATAAATGATTCAGTGATTCACTCATTAACACAGTCAAATGCTTTGTTTCTGAACGAATCGGTTGAATAAATGATTCAGTGATTCACTCATTAACACAGTCAAATGCTTTGTTTCTGAACGAATCGGTTGAATAAATGATTCAGTGATTCACTCATTAACACAGTCAAATGCTTTGTTTCTGAACGAATCGGTTGAATAAATGATTCAGTGATTCACTCATTAACACAGTCAAATGCTTTGTTTCTGAATGAATCAATCTCAGTGACTCACTCATTAACAGTCACTTGCTGTCACCTACTGGCGGTTTTTATTTCACATTTCGACTTTTTTTTAAAATAATTTCAAATAACAGTATTCAGCGTTTTATGTTAAAAACAAAACATTATTTATCCAGCTGTGACTGCAGGTTAAATGCATCCATGTCCTCTCTGAAATAGGCCTATATTAAACCGTGTAAATACATCTAAATGCTATTTCAGACGCAGATTGCAGAAATGTTTTCTTATGTTGGAATGAAATACACTTAAGTACCGGATGAAGTGCTTCTTATTCTTACCCAAAAATACTAAATGGAAGAAAGAGTTAAAACTGAACACAATCTTGCTACTCAAGCTGTGCATGAACTATATATATTATGTGCTTCTTTTACATTTTGCATTTATTTGTACTTTTACTTTCAATACTTAAGTATGTTTAAGATTTATAAAATACTTTTCGTACTTAAGTACAATAAATATCACATACTTGAAGACTTTTACTCTAAACGGTGACTTCCACTTCTACCAAAGTCATTTTCTGGTAAGATATCTGTACTTTTACTTGAGTATGGCTTTCAGGTACTTTATACATTTAGAGGATGAGACACTGTGGGGGCTTCACCGGCGAGGAGGGCTTTACATTGAATAGATGGACTCCGGTGATGCCAGAATTGAACAGCTCTTTTTTTGTATTTCAATGTGTAAGGGGTCTAAGCCCAGTTCAGCCCTGCAGGCATTGCTAGAAGTGCCTCTGTTTACCCTTAGAAAAAATTATCCCAATTTTCAAACTTTAATACTGGTCCCCAAATTGCACTCCTCTCTCTGTCTCTCTCTCGCTCTCAGTTCAACTCAAATAGCTTTATTGGCATGATAAAAATACATTTTGTATTGCCAAAGGATTAAGACAACCAAAAAAAAAAGGTTTAGAACATCTGAACTTTTACATTAGTACTTCTGAACATTTATATATTATAACTAATATGGAAAGGTCATATACACGCACACAGATACATATAGGGGAAAACCCCATTATAACACAGAAGTCATGCAGCAACTATAGGACTTAGAGAGAGAGAGAGAGAGAGAGAGAGTAATGTTACACATGTACATAATGTTCCAATTCTCTCTCATTTTTGGCTTCAGAGTTTGAAAGAAAACAACTGCTGCATGCCGTGAGTCACCAGCGCCGCGCCGCGCCGCGCCCTCCACACAAACACAGAGGAACGCCGCTACATCACCTCCTGCGCAGGCTTTCCTGCTGTTATTAAGTTGGCTTGAGAAAGTTTATTATTAGTGGTTTCTAAGCACTATTGTTATCTTGCATACTTTCTCTTCTACTGGACAAAACTTCGGCGCACTACTCCTCCCGCACCGTTTGTCCTAGACCCATGAATGAGGTGTCAAATCACACTTTTGGTCATATATTTAACAAGGCTTTTACATTTGAAAACGGCACTTTTTGAAATGCTTCTTCAGTCACAGAGAGAGAGAGAGAGAGAGAGAGAGAGTAATGTTACACATGTACATAATGTTCCAATTCTCTCTCATTTTTGGCTTCAGAGTTTGAAAGAAAACAACTGCTGCATGCCGTGAGTCACCAGCGCCGCGCCGCGCCCTCCACACAAACACAGAGGAACGCCGCTACATCACCTCCTGCGCAGGCTTTCCTGCTGTTATTAAGTTGGCTTGAGAAAGTTTATTATTAGTGGTTTCTAAGCACTATTGTTATCTTGCATACTTTCTCTTCTACTGGACAAAACTTCGGCGCACTACTCCTCCCGCACCGTTTGTCCTAGACCCATGAATGAGGTGTCAAATCACACTTTTGGTCATATATTTAACAAGGCTTTTACATTTGAAAACGGCACTTTTTGAAATGCTTCTTCAGTCACAGCGTCACGTGTCGATCACAGACGATTAGCAGATCACCCCTGACCTCTGATAAAACACACTGCTCCGTGACGGCTTTGTGGAAGAGTCTTTAATGTCGCCGTAAAAAACAAACATGAAACATGCAGATTTTAAGCGTACAGCAAGACAGTGAAATATTCAGGACAAGATGGTAACTCACAGTGAGCTAGAGCAGAACAGAGTCGTGCAGAATTCAGAACTGAAGAAATGAGTACGATCCACAACATTAATGCGGTGTTTGAGTGATCCATGCTGACAGATGAAGCATTACAAACGACAGCAGATCAGTTTCCATTTCTGTGAAGTTCATTCTACTTTAATTAGAATTCTGCAGCCTGTTTGTGGCCTCAGTTTAGATTGAAGAAGCGAGTTGGGATTTGAAGCCATTCGGTTCAGTTCTAGATGATGCACAACACACACACACACACACACACACAGGTGTGATTCCCTTGACCTTTGACTGACGGAAGCGTTCATCCCTCCATCAGACGGATGACATGCAGACAGAGAGAGGGTTATATCATCTTGGCGACCGACGGCGGGGAGGTGAGGAGCACGTATGCAGGAGGAGACGCGCGAGACACTGAGACGTGTCTTCTGAGCACACAGCTGCACACCAGCGCCAGCGTCTGAGGATAAACACACGCAGACGGTCAGAACACACGCGTGTTTGAGAGTGAACCACACAGAGCTCCAGACGGACTCACCATGATTCCTGCCGTCCCCAGAAACCCTCCCAACACCAGCTGAGCATTCGAGTTGAAGACGTCCTTGATCACGTTGGGACAGCTCTACATACACACACACACACACACACACGGATGAGTGCCTGTACTCCTCTAACTTCAAACAGCCAGAAATCAGAGCAAGACAAACAGAAAGTGACTCACAGAATACGAGAGCTGCTGCAGGAAGCTGCCTTTTGGACAGGTGTCTCGCACAAACATCTCAATCGGTCCACCGACACCGCAGCAATCAAACTGAAACACAAACACACGCCTGTTAGAGCATGTGTGTGTGTGTGTCTTTGACTGTCTGTCTCTGTGTGTGTGTGTGTGTGTCTTTGACTGTCTGTCTGTGTGTGTGTGTGTCTTTG